CCACATCGGCTCTCACGAATGCCTACTCAGCGACGCATCCCGAACGTCACTCACCACTACAGGTGTAAGAGCGGTCCTCACGCTCCTGACGCAACACGGACATCCTCCCACCACTCCGACCACTATGGCGCTCACTCTACGCCGGCGGCTAAGGCGGCTCCAACTCGCTGCCTCTTCCAGTGCGAGTCTCCCACTACCGCAACTCATTGTATGAGGAGAAAGGGAATCAAGCTACCAAGAATACACTTCACTCTCATCATCACGTACCCAACATACGAAATCTCCTTATTTATTCACTTACACCTTCATTCCTACTCCTTACAAATAATTAACTATTTATTATATTTATTATATTTAATAAAAGGAAAGACAATAAACATTAAAGGCAGTATTGAATAATTGCATTGCCCCTTCCACTTGCCAGCAAGCCTCCACCCACCATCAAAGAGAGGTTTTTAAGTCTGATCCCAGACAGTAGCATTAAAAAAAAATTAATTTTATACTATACTTAATCACAGTAATCTCTTTATACGACATTGATATACTAACGTTTTTGCAATAAGTTACAGTTAAAAAATGTTCTTATTTATAATTTAAAAAGTATAATAGTATAGTAGCATAGTATAATAATATTTATAATTTAAAAATATAATAATAAATGGCTTTGTTGCTTTATGACATAACTAATCTTTTACTATTTGACATTTTGAATTGAATAAAGAGAAAATTTTATATTTTTGTAATATGTTTAATTATAACGGAAAAAACCAGTATAGAAATATGATCTTTAAATATATTTCCAAATTATTCTGTGTAGATGGTGTTATAAAAATTATAAAAAATTCTAAGTTTTTCAAATATCTTTTGTTCTATTTCTGTGAAAAACGGACCTGTATATCATGCAGAACTCAGTTATTTAAAACATAATTCGGGAAATAAGTGATTTAAAAATATTAAATACTATGAAATATTTACTGTACAAACAATTTATAGCATTATTAATCTATATTAATAAATATAAATTATAAAAGGTATATTTTAAGAAAATAAATAAATGGTATACTTGTATGAAATTAATTAATTAAAATAATTTTCAATGATATTTCGAATATATATTGCATGAAATTTAATTAAATTGCTTTGAATTAAGCAAGTATTAATACGTCATTTCCCTTGAAAATTATTTCAACTATATTTTTAGTTAATGAAACGATAATATGTAAATTTGGTGAAATCAATTTGAAAATAAACTTAATTTATATTAAATTAGTTCCATATTCCATATTTTAAATATATTTTTATTAAATCTTCGAAAAATAGATAAAGGTAATACAAATAAAGTATGCAAACTTAGTTTCGTATATAATTCTTTTACTAATTGAATGTTTGAGTTTGTTAGAGCGCTCCCTAAATCGTGGTAGCCACGCCTTCAGCACATATTTGTTTCCGAATATACGATGATGATTTAGACCTTTTTTATTGGTGATGTTAAAATTTCTTGTAAATTTTGTTTAATATCCACAATATATATTATTATATGATTTTATAGAAACGTTTCATTAATAATATGCCATATTTCCAATACATAAAATTGCAAGAAATATCGCAAATTATGTAAATTGACAATACCCTTGTACTGGAATTTTCGTTAACAATAATAATATATTACAAAACCTGCATTTCATATGTCCAATTAGCATTGTCAAATTAAAAAAACTTGCATACAGGATTTCATTTTAATTATTACTATCTTAGATCAAATAAATCTAAAGAAGAATTTGATCAATTTTTAGTTGTTAATTTAACACATTTCATGTTTAATTTATATACGTGATGAGTGATTATCCGAAAAATTTTATATTTAACATAAAATAATTTATTTCTCATACTTAGACATTATTACGTAATTTAAAAACTAGTACATATAATTAAAAATATTAATTTTCATTATAAAATAAAATTTTGTAACACTCTTAACTTAATACTATATAGCAATTAATATAATTTTTTAGTTAATTTTATTTCATTAAATTATTTATATTATCATTAGTTTAAACGTACATTAACATTATTGACATTTAAATTTGGAAAATCGAAATTTTTAATATAAAAGTATTATTTTTATACTAAGTTTCATATTACTTTATTTTTAATTTTATTTGTAATTTTTATAATTGTAATTATTTATGCGTTTTTTGTGCAAAAATTTAACTTTTAAATTATATTAAATTATATTCTATCAGTATTTATAACATATTAATTTAATGAATATTATTAAAATAGAGTAACTGAAAGGAATAAGTATTAATTAAATTTGTTTTAAACATAATTTTTTCAATTCGTAAGATATTTACTATGCTAACTTATTCAAAAATACAAGTTAATACAGGAAAATTTTAAATATTCGAAAAACTGAAGAAGAATGTTTAGTATATGTAAAAAAAAATTATTTGTGATCCATAAAATAATTATTATACATGATTTCATAATATTTCATCTACAGAGTATACTCTATATATATTAATTATAGATGTCAATTAGAAAATATAATAATAACCTAAATAAAATATAAAAATAATCGAAATATTAGAATTAAAATATGTATATTGAATAATCCTTAGAGCTTCGTCGTGATTAATAACAATAGTTTATGTAAATATTTAAAACAAATCGTCTCTTTTTAATGACACGTTGTTCAGACTTCTTGTATTCATACCAATTTTCAATTATAAGATATAAAAGTGTATAAAAATATGCAAATTTTTGAACTATTTCGAAATACGAAACAATTAAAAATGTTTTGGTAGAATTACAAAAACTATTTTCATAGGCATATATTGTTTTCAATGATTTTGATGTATGTACTTAAAATAAATAATAAGAAACAATCTACAGTAGATGATTTATGTAAAAATGATGATTTATTTAAGAATAAAATAAATAAAAAAAATATAAAAAAAATTGTATTAGTATATTATTAAAAAAATTTTGTTAATTTCAATATTTATTTTTAATATTAGAAATATATGTATTACGTTTCAAATAATTTTGACAGAATCAACATTTTAGACAATTAATTTATAACTCAAAATTGATTGTTTAGTATACAATATACTTTAGTATATTATATATATATATATATATATATATATATATATATATATCTTTATTTATTTATTTCAGGTAATTAAAATATTACCAAATATTAGTTTTACAAGTTTACTGAATTATTATATTATACTGTTACTATATTACTTTCATTTCTTGTATTTTTCACGATTTAAAGATTTAAAGATTTTTTATTTTCCTCAATTATTTAATACTTTAATTAATTAAAAATAAGCTTGTTAATAGTTGTTTAATAGTTGAGTTGTAATAATTCTACTATTTTACAGATGCCTTAGTATGCACATATATAAAAAATATTTAACTTTCTAAGACTGCTAAACATATAAAACAATAACTGTTTCAGAGACATAGTATCCACGGAATGATGGAAGATGATAATATAATAAGGCCACATCAAGAGATGGCAAGTCTGTCATTGAATGATAAAAAGTTCTTACTGGCTGTAGAGCGTGGCGATGTGGCCGGAGTACGAAAGTAAGTGATTTTCTAATAACTCGATTTTATATCTAATTTGTTAGTAATTTTGAATCAACTGTGAGTTTTTTTAAAAATTTGTTCCTAATTATTTTGATAAATAAATGAATTTTTCTTTTATAATATGATTATATTAAAAAATATAATATATATTTATATATCAATAAATAAACCATAATAAAATATTGCTTTTAAATTTTTTATATATTTTTTATCAAAATAGGTATTTTTTTTTGGCATTAATAGTTCAAGTTAATTCTCCATAATTAATAATCAATCACATTTTAATAAAATAAAATGTGTAAAATTATCAAAATATACTGTAATATATCTTGTAAAAATAAATTATAATTAAAATAATTTATAATATTAAATAATATTAAATTTTTCTTTATATATTTATTTTACTCTAAAAAATTCGAAGATTTACAAAATATTCATAAGTTAATCATAATATATATTTTTTTAAATTATCTTATGAATTATTGAACAAAAAAATATATTTTTTAAAATATCATTCATGCAATATGTATATCTTTTTTGTATGGTGCAAATTAACTTTACAAAATCTGTATTTTGTATATATTTATTCAATATTGAAAAAAGATAAATAAAAATATTATTTATTTCTTAGAAAAATTGAAAGAATCTGTATTATTAGATTAATACCACTAATACTTTTATGTTAGTAACAAATTGTAGCACATATATTAATTGTTTATTAAAATTTAAAATTAAAAAAACCACTTAAATTCAAGAAACAGTTCAAGGTTTACTTTCTATAGCTTTCTATAACTATAAAATTTCAATTTTTTATTTTACTCTATAAATATTTTATACCGTTTTAACTAATTAACTCTTATTTATAATTTTGTAATTTCTATAATATATTTACAATGTATAAATAAAAAATGTTCAATTATATGTTGTTCTTTATCAATAAATTTAAAATAATAGTTACATAATTTCACATTGTAACCTGTTAGTACTCTTTAAAATCTATTGAACGGTCTATCATTTTACCTATCTGTAAATACACATATATACATGCATATTTAAAATCACACATATTTGAAATAGGATATTGTTTATTTTTTTAATATATATCAATAAATCAATTGATTTGAAAATAATTAATCCAAATATTATGTTTAATATAACAAATTTTAAATTATTAACGCGTATCTTTCCGTACAATTAATTATGAACTGTAAATATTATGAATTATCAGGATGCTAGAAATAAATCATGAAAAGATAAATATCAATTGCGTGGATCCTTTGGGTAGATCGGCTCTTCTTATGGCGATCGACAATGAAAACCTTGAGATGGTTGGTCTTCTGATTGAGTTTAAAGTGGATACAAAAGATGCGCTTCTCCATGCAATATCAGAGGAGTTTGTCGAAGCGGTCGAGCTATTACTTGACCATGAGGAGAGCTTTCATTCTAACGGAGAACCTCATGTAAGTGACTCTGATTCATCAAATTGTGATATATTCTATCATCAAAAAATAATTCTTCCATTTTGTATAAGTGTGTTTAAGAGAATTCTAATAAAATAAATACTTAATATTTTTTAAGTTTCTTAAAAAAAAACAATACAATTAATATTAAATAAATACGTGATAGATTTTAGAAAATTCATATATTAATTATTTTATTTGTGCAAAATTTATCCGATGATCCGGCTTGTTTTACCAAGACAGGCTCGAAGGACCAAAATTGTTTATGTAGACAATTCAGAGACCACGAGATGTTATGTGGTAGAGATGTGCGGGCAAGTGGAAGGAATAGTGTAATAAATTCAATATTAATACATTCGTTTGTTAGCCTATTTATTCCGTTAATTTCCAGATACAGGAATGATTCTTATTACTGTTATCAATTAATGAACTCTTGGTTTGGGCAGATCAGTTTGATTTGCTTTAGCAAGCGCACTTTAACCAGAGTTGTCATATTTGCTTCTCTTGGTGTAGTACACTGATGCTACTTACTGGGAAGTGAGTAGTTGTAAACCTCTTACCACTTCTTCGAGTAGGGTCGCGTATTATTTCTGCTATGAACGCAAATGGCGTGATAATTAGCCTCGTGAGCATAGGACTCGAGCTAGCAAAAAGGTTAGATCGGCAAGGTGGGTGCTGAATGGCGCGTTGGCTTGCAGACGTGTGCTCGTGCGCGTGGACACTACTGAGCTCTCCTTGAGTACAGGCAGTAGAATTAATTAAGATGATTTTGCGTGAACCTGTGAGATGGGCTCAATCCTTTACGTATACTCGATGACTTGACTTCTGGAGAACCTTGAATCTTAGATAGTGGCTATGACGCCTAAAGTAGATGATACTACAAACAAAGACTAATCTTGGACTCAGTTGAGGGACGTTGCCACTTCCTTCTTCAATGAGGACTTCAACTAGTACTTGTCTTCGGACTCCGATAAGGGAATTTTTCCACTTCCTTTTTTTTGAGGACATCAACAAAAGTTTATCTTCGGACTTTGTTGAAGGACTTGCCACTTCCTTTTGAATAAGGACTTTACTGAGAGTATTTAAATTTTGTGATTGTCTCTCTTAAATATATTCACTCCCCATGGTGTTGATTTGGGATCTCTTTTCTTTTTTAACTTGACAATAAGGGGGAGGGGGCCGTACATACCCTTAGATTTTAGATTTTCGGGTATAGCGATTCCTTCCAGCTGCCTAATGAGTTGCGTTTTCCCGAGTCATACGTTTTGTTTTGCCAGATATTTAATGACACTAGTACCAGATGTTTTATGGGCTGAACTTTTCAGAAGTCTAATGACTATTTAATGATGTTGTTTTGCCAGATAATTTAAGGCATAGGAAAATGTTCTCGCAATCTCGAATAGTATCATTCAAATTATATATTATTATTATTATTATTATTATTATTATACAATTATTATAAAATTATATTTTAAATTTTACTTTCTTTATGATGTTAATTGTAATTTCTTTAATTGCCAAATTAATTCAGATGTTTTAATTAAAAGTAAAAATAAAAGTAAGGAAAATTAACACGAATTTTATAAGAGATGAAATTATTCTTCTTTTTTCATTCAATTTAAATGTCTTTAATAAAACTAATACAGATAGTTGCTTTTTTATTTTTAATCTAGAAACATTTTTTTAACAGTTAATTCTTAACTTAATGTTAAATAGATATATTATGTATGAAGAACAAATAAATTCCTAATGTAAACATGATTATGATTAATTATGAATATTTAGCTTCAATATAATATTTATCGAAATAAATAGCGATAAATATACTATAGTATTGTTAAAATTTATTTAAAAATTGTTTTAATAACGTAATATGCATTGTTCGGAAAATAATTCTACAATCTGACTCGTCAGCCAAACGTGAAAAAATCAACTTAGAACAAAAAACCCACTAGATGTTGTGTAGGGTTGCCGGGAAAGTAAAGGGTTAATGCATCGATTCAATAATTAACACATATCTTTATTATTGCTGTTTGATTAATTTATTTTACTTTATTTACAATGGGAATTATTAACCTTGTTGAAATTACAAATGATCTTTATATTTCTTGATAATCTTGTGGTGTTGATATATCTGTTTATTGGATAATTAGAGGATAATCAATTTCTTATTCTCTGCATGTCACTGGTGAGATTATGATTTACTGTAACAAGAAGTAGGTTATGATCTATTGAATATTGTCACTAAGAGGTTATGGTAATTGTAGTGCTCTGATCGAACACTGCAATGTTATTGTGTTTATCTTAACACGTGTGCAGTTGCCTCTAAATATCGGTCGTAAGAGAGCCTAAATGGAGGTTATGTGAAGCTGTGC